CTCATCATGGATCGTGCTTTCGTCACGTGCTAATCGTGGATCTGTGCTTTTGGTCACATTCTGACCGTGGATCCGTGCTGTTCGTGCTCATCATCGTGGTTTCGTGCGGGAACTTTGGTGCATGATAACGTGCTCATCTTTGATCCGTGCTTTGGGTGGTCGGTGCTCATCGTGGATACGTGCTTTTCATGCTCATCGTCGATCCGTGCTTTTCGTGCCGTCGTGGATACGTGCTTTTCATGCTCATCGTCGATCCGTGCTTTGCATGCTCATCATCGATCCGCGCTTTGCATGCTCATCATCGATCCGTGCCTTTCGTGCTCATCGTTGATACGTGCTTTTCATGCTCATCATTGATCCGTGCTTTTCGTGCTCATCGTTGATACGTGCTTTTCATGCTCATCATTGAGCCGTGCTTTTCGTGCTCATCGTTGATACGTGCTTTTCGTACTCATCATCGATCCGTGCTTTTCATGCTGGGTGGTCGCCGTGGATGCGTGCTCATCGTGAATCCATCCTGAAGTGCTCAGCGTGAATCCATCCACCGGTGATCACCGTGGATGCGTGCTTTTCATGCTCCGTGCTCATCGTGAATCTATCCAGACGTGCTCATCATTGATCAGTGATTTTCATGCTCATCTAGACGTGGTCACCGTGGATGCGTGCTCATCGTGAATCCATCCAGACGTGCTTTTGGTGGTCATCATCGGCCCTCCCTTCTTCCTTCCTTTCTCCTTCCTTCTTCCCTCCGTTGCCTTTGCGCTCCTTCCTCCGGTGGCATTACCTTCCTCGGCCCTGTGTCCTCCCTCCCTTCGTGCTACCTTATCTGGGAATGATATAGAGTGCATTCCGTTTTTCTTAGCTTTCTCAATTTGCGATAAGGCTTAGGCCACATTTCGTTTCCAATGTGAATAAGGGCGAGCGTGTCGCGCGTGCGGTTGAGCACAGACGCACACAGCGAGAGGTGTGGATGGACGGCGCGTGCGAGAGTGAGAGAGAGAGAGAGAGAGAGAGAGAGAGAGAGAGAGAGAGAGAGAGAGAGAGAGAGAGAGAGAGAGAGAGAGAGAGAGAGTGCTCAATGGTGTGTGTGTAGGGTTGGGGGTGGAAGAGAGAGGTAGAGAAAGAAAGATCGATACCCTGAAATACCTGGTGCAGGGCAGTTNGGCGCGGGGGGGGGGGGGAGAGAGAGAGAGAGAGAGAGAGAGAGAGAGAGAGAGAGAGAGAGAGAGAGAGAGAGAGAGAGAGAGAGAGAGAGAGGTTACTCAGTGTGGTGTGTGTAGGGTTTGGGGAGGAAGAGAGAAGTATAGAAGGAAATATCGATACCCTGAAATACCTGGTGCAGGGCAGTTAATCGTAAGGCCGCTCCAAAGAAAAAAGACCGAGGGAGAATGTTGAGGAGGAAGATCTTGAGGAGGCAGAAGACTTGGTGGTGGAAGAGAGACAAGGGCAAAGGTGTGAGGAAGGAAGAGCGAGAGGAGGAAATGTGTTGGGTGAAATGCGTTTATCTCTCTCCTGCTTTCCCTCTCTCCTTCTTGAGCGTGTGCAACGGTGTTGAGATCTTTAAAAGAAATGGAGCGATCTTGATAACAAATGGAGCGTTTACGTCCACTGGGTCGGGCGTTACGACAGGAGGGCCGCCAGTTGAGGGAGGAAGTGGCAGTTAGGGAATACAACGGAGGGAGGAATGGAAAGAGGTTGTCAGGTGGTGATCAGGCTGAGGAAGGAAGGAAGGAAGGAGATTGGGGGAAGCGAGGGCAGACAGAGATCGGGCGAACGAAGGGTGCGGATGAAGGGGAATGAGGCGGCCAGGCGGACGGAGGCCAGTGGGAGGTTGAAGAGAAAGCGCGGAGGCGGCCAGTAGGCAGGGCAAAGGCGGCAGAGAGTAGGGCGGAAGCAGGAGTTCAGGTAGAGATCGGGCAAAGGAAGGAAGGGGAGGAAGGAGATTGGGGGAAGGAGGAGGTCAGTGCAAGTCGGGCAGAGGAAGGAGGAAGGAGGAGGACGGAGGAGATAGAGGGAAGGAGGTCAGGCGGAGATTGGACAAAGGAAGGGAAGTGAGGTGGCCAGGTGACGGGAGGGCAGACGGAGGTTTGAAGAGAAGGTCAAGAGGAGGCAGGGAGAAAAGGGAGGCGGCAGGGAGAAGTAGGGAGGAGGGAGGACAGAAAGCAGAACGTAGTTTAGAGGTTGAGTGACATATGGAGGAAGGGAAGAGGTAAGGGGTGGACGAGCATGTGAAGAGGAAGAGGAGGGGAAAAACGACATGGTGAGGTCGGCCGGAGGGAGGGCAAAGGCTGGGTGGGGTACGGAGCAAGGGAAGAGGTCAGGCGGAGGTGGAGAGAGAGAGAGAGAGAGAGAGAGAGAGAGAGAGAGAGAGAGAGAGAGAGAGAGAGGCATACACATGGATTGGTGGGAGGAGAGTGAAGAGGGGCGCGTGAGAATTGGGGTCAGGAGGGGAGAGGGGCAGCAGAAGCCACAGTAGGACSGGGGGRGGAAAGAATTTGAAGAGGCGCAGAGCAATAGCGCGGGCGGATTTGGAGGAAGAGGATGAGGTGGCGCATGGCACAGCGTCCTGGGAGGGAAGCGAGAGTCGAGGGGTAAGGATGGTACAGTGACAAAGGGGAAGAGCGGGAGGGATAGCGGTACATGTCGTGGATGGGAGAAAGATGGGGGGACGGGGAAGAGGGGCAGGGGTAAGGTGGAGTGTGAAAGGCCCAAAATCGCGCTCTATTTCTGTTTTTTCCCTTACGTGTGCTTTTGTGTGTGTGTGTGTGTGTGAGAGAGAGAGAGAGAGAGAGAGAGAGAGAGAGAGGAAGGGAGGAGGATTAGGGGGAGTCGGCCTTTTGCGTCTCTTTTTCTTGCGTGTGAGAGAGTGACAGGGACGGGGAAGGGAGGACGGTTACAGGAAAGTCAACAGTGGGATGCGCGCATGTGCAAGAGAGAGAGAGAGAGAGAGAGAGAGAGAGAGAGAGAGAGAGAGAGAGAGAGAGGTGGGGAAGTCGATGAGGATTAGGAGGGAGTCGGTGACTGGGGGGGAGGTTAAAGGTTCATCATGCTTTTTTGTCTTTTTCTTCTCTATTTTCCGTATGTGTGTGTGAGAGAGAGAGATAGACGGGGGAAAAGGAGAGCAGGTTAACCGAGCACCCATTTTTCAGGCCCATTTATAAGAAAACCAGACAGTCATTTTAACAACACTTCACACCAATCTATAGAGTGCACTTCTTACGACCCCATCACAGAAAAAAACCCTWAAAAAAACAATAAAAAACATATAAAACAGCAAGCCAAAGGTGCATTTCCATGAAATTCAGCCCAAAAAAAACTCGACCAATTTCAGAAATTTCAGAAATCTTAATAGCGCAAATTCTAAAACTCCAAATAACCCTAAATTTCATATACGGCAACCCTATCAAAATGCATGTATAGCAAAAACTTGAAATTCCAAAAAAACATGAAATTTGAGCCCAAAACCCTAATTTCAGAAATTTCAGGCCTGAAAACCAGATGCCCCGTTAACCTCGTGTGGGGAAAGGAGGGTGAGGGGAAGCTGGCGAGGTGGTGAGTGGTATAGCCGCGCCAAGTCCCAGGATGTCTTTTGTCTTTTGTCTTTTGATTTTTATTTTTTTTATTTTTTTTTGTGTGTGTGTGTGTGAGAGAGAGAGAAGGGGGGGGACTGTGCCAAGTTCGCCTTCCCGGAAATGCGCCAAGATGCTCTCCTGTCAATGCTACTCCCGACAAGCCCCCCCCAAGACCAACTGCCAAAGAGCAGATTGAATGCTGCTGATTGTTTCATTCATACAATGCAAAACCTGCTTCACATCATCCGAGCACCAGATACAATGCAAAGCTTTAGAAGCCCACTAGTCACTCCTACAGTTAGTTGGAGCCGACTTCCTTCCACTTTCCCGGGCCAATCGTCAAAATGACATCATCCGAGCCCACCAAAGTGAGACTCACCCACACACGCATGCACTTGCGCACATAGCGTAAAAACTCAACAAGTAAGCCACGGGGCATGCAGAACATGCAAGATGGGTTGATCACAA